GGGGACGGGCCAATGGGCAGGCCAAGGGGACGGGCCAATGGGCAGGCCAAGGGGACGGGCCAATGGGCAGGCCAAGGGGACGGGCCAATGGGCAGACGGAGGCGGGGGCCTCGCTGGTGGTTGACGCGCGGGAAGAAGCTAGGTGAACAGGGCTCTCGCTCTCGCCAGGCGCTTCCGGGAGAGTTCCTCGTCGCGCCGTCGCACGGCGCAGCATGGGTGGCGCGCGGGCTGCAGCTTGGGTGGCGGCGGGCCTGGCCCTGGGCGCGGGCGCGGGCTTCTGCGTCTATCGCCTGGCGCGCGGCCGGCGGCGCAGCAAACGCGGGCTGCGCTCCTCCGGGTCCGCAGGTACCCGACGGCCGGGTGCAGGGGCGGCAGCCTCCGGGGGGTGCGGGCTAGGGCCTGAGCCCCTTCCTGCCTGCAGTCGGCATCGCGGCGGGGGCCTGATGACCCGATGGCTGATGACCTCTCTCTCGCTTGGTTCTTGGATCACCCGGGCGGGGCAGGCCCGGGCCGGAGGCTTGCTGCGCTCGGCGCCCGCGCAGGGCGGGCTTCGGGAGGGGAGGGCCAGGCAGCCCCAGGAGCGCGGGTGTTCTGGAAGAACTGCCACAGCCTCCAGGCCGGACTAGGCCTCTGTCCAAAAGTTAATGGGTGCAGTCGGAATGCTAACGGTCTGCCCACAGTTCTGGAGGATAGTTCAGGTCAGGGAAACTGTTGAGGAAAGCATCAAAACTAAAATCTGCCAGCCAAGAAAATGTTTTCCACAAATGTAAAAGAGCCAAACATCACGGTCAGTCTGCTTAATGCTGTACCAAAAACAGAACTGTCACCTCTTTGTGTAGTTGGGCAGATGAAATTCAAGATAAATGATAACTTGAAGAAGACTGCACAACACTTGACTGAGCATAGTTCACTCTACATTCGCTGGTAATTCGAGCAGCTCTTTCAGTTGGCTAAATGCCTTTAACTAGAGGCAGAATGAGACATCTTTATGATACGCGGGTGATTAAAGGGTGGAAGCAGGTGTCTCGGTTAGGCTTCCACAGAACTCAGGCGACTGAGGCTCTGTCTTAATGTTTACATTTCAAAGGCTTCCAAGCCTACAAGAAAAACGTTGGGTTTTAAAACTGGCTTTTACTTGACTTACATTTACATTAAAAGGACAGACAAAAGATTTATAAATGCAAGTTTGCTCATGAAAGGCTCTGAAAAAGGGAATGAAGGGGTTTCTTTCCCTTTTGTTAAAATGTGTATTTCCCCCTACTTGTAGAGCCTAACTCGTTGTTTCTCTGTGTCAGATATTTCTGTATAAGTAACTGACATATTTCTGTATAAGTAACAGATACTTTCTCACTTATACTGAGTCTTGATGTATAGTGACAAAGTCTTGCTTTTAAATTTCTAGTTCCCACGGTCATCACCTTAGGTCAGACAACTTTAAAAATGTTATTTACAGTCCTTTCTACCCGAAGCTACACCTCTATCTTTGAAGACTTGAGAAGTAACCATTTTGTTGTCACCCTTAAGTTTAAAGGATAATCTTTTCCTTGCCTTAAACTTTAAGAAATGTTTGATTCCTTTGGGAATTAGTATCCTATACTATTAAGACTGTTTGCAGCATTGAAAAAGATGGAAACCACCCCAAATCACTCAACAACCTGATACCAAAACCTGTCTGTTATGAATAAAGATAAAACCTTAAAATATTAGTAAATCAAATCCATCAGAAGATTAAAGAAGTAATGTACCAAAATTGTGATTGTAAAGTTCTACTTAGTCAAATCCTATTCCGTAATTAACGTATACTCTATAAACAAGTATTCCATTGGATGGATGTGCCTGGTTTTATTTTATTTTTATTTTTGGTACCGGGAATTGAACTGAGGACCTTGCATTTGCCAGGCAGGCACTGTGTCACTGAGCTATATCCCCAGCGGGTGTGCCTGGTTTAAAAAAAAAAGGAAATGGTATTAGCATTAGGGGTCCATATTATTTGCATGTAGTAGCTTACTAGTGAACATATACCAAGGAAACACTGGCTAATTTCAGTTTCCCATCTATACATTGAGAATGGTAATAGTATCTTCTTAGGGTTGCTCTAAGATTAAATGAGACGAAGCCATAGAGTATGTGTTTGGTATTGTTTCTTAAACTGTTCATGTTGATTTTAGATGAATGTTAAATAACTTTTTTCTTATTAAATCTTCCAGAAGATTTAACCAGTGGCTCATACGATAATGTCTTAAATGCCGAACAACTTCAGAAACTCCTTTACCTACTTGAGTCAACTGAGGATCCTATAATTACTGAAAGAGCCTTGGTCACTGTGGGTAACAGTGCAGCCTTTTCAACGAACCAAGTAAGTACCGTCATTCAGCAAGCAAGCTCCTTTTGTCCAAATACACTGGCAGTAATTGTGTGGATAAGTTATTTAACCTCTCAGAGCCTCAATTTCCTCCTCTATACAGTGTAGTTCCATGTCCCTACAGTGTGATATTTGTTTACTACTGAAAAGCACAGGCTAATGGCAATATCACTTATAATACATTTCTAGATGCCTGGGAAACTGGTCACTGGTATTATATAATAAGTGAGTCTGTTTGACGTTTAACAGTATATGGAAAAAAAACTATATGGCCTTTTAAGTTACTTAAAATTTATCAGTGGAACAGTGGAAGCTTAAGAGCACACTTTAATTGTGTAGTACTGTAGCTCTCAGCCTCATGGTCCTGATAATCCCTAAATCAGTGTGAATGGCTTCTACAGCTACAGATTTAACAAGACCAAGAAGCTTAACGGGAATATTCCTTCCCTCCTCCCTGCCCCATGGAGAACAAGTGGAAACACTTACGTAACTTTTCCTCGCCTAATGCCCTTTGTTAACCTTGTCAGAAGCACAGAATTATTTGGAATTCATACTTTCTTTGAGTACAGCTTTCTCCAAATGGCACAGTCTCCTGCAAAGCCTTAGAGGTTTTTAGGAAGGTACACAAAGTATTTGTGCATTATTCTACCCTTTCAGTTGCAAATGGCAGAATAGTGCTGAAATTATTTTAAGGGAAAGTACTGAAATCAGCAGACTTGGACATCTAAGAGTGGGACTGGTTTGGGGCACAGTTAGGCTGAGTTCAAGGCTGCAGAGTTATCAGAGCACTCCTCCCCGCACCATCCCTTTGGCTGCGCTTGTGCTTGCTTGTTTTTATGTATTGGTCCTTGCCCACAAAGAGGCTTGCCTCAAGGGGTAGAAAGAAAACCTCTCATGCATTCATCCCTGTAGCTCATGTCCCAAAAGGTTGTGTTGTTCCACCAGGATCGAGTGCCAGCCCTTCCGTCTCTAAGACAAAAGGCCCTGGACCCTGGTTGGTGAGGTCTGGCTCTCATGCATATCCTGCAGCCAAGTAGCAGGGATGGACGTGAACTCTGCTGGCTAACAGTGCCACCAGGGACCCTGCAGGGTGGAGGAAGCACTGGTCACGGGTGTGATATAATAAGTGATGGAAAACAGTGGATGCTGACCAATTTGCCAGCCTGCCCATGTTGGAACACTTGTGATGTCTCCAGTTTGTAGCCCTTTGAATCAAGTCGTAGGCACAGCGGGTCCTTTCTTGATCAGTGGAAGCGAGTGCTGTCACCATGGATTATGGTGACTTGATCTACTTCAACAGTGGTTACTTATGACATCTTTGTCTGCTGACTGCATGTATGGCCTACATATGTTAGATGGCCCCTTAGGTTATTTTGCTTAGTGACGCAGCTGGCTTAGTCTGTGTCAGTGCCGTACACTGTGATGTTCACGCAGTGATGAAATTGCCCAGCAAGGCATTTCCCACCGGTCTTTATTGCTAGGCAGTGCGTCACTGTGCAGTAGAAAGGAAGGAGAAGCTGTTTTCAGGGGCTGCAAGTCCTTTGAAAGGACCTGGGATTGCAGGGGGAAAGCTTCACTGTTCTCCAGCGCTAAGTCTACCCTTAAGAATACAGTTGTGAGCTGTTTGTAGAAAGCAGATGATGGCACTGTTTGGGGACGAAATAGCATGTCTTGGCCCAGTGGTGAGTGATTTTCAACCCATTTTCCTTACGCGGATGAAAGTGATTGATACTTCGTTCTCTGTGAAGACCAAGGACATGGTAACTGAGTATTGCCATTAACTGTGCCAAATCTCATATTATTTTTCTTTGGAAAATTTGGGCACCATTTTTTAAGCTCTGTGGAACTCCAATTATGCAAGATGTTAATGTATTCCTCCTCTTCCACCACTGAAAAGTGACCCTTTAGTGCATAGTTCACAGTGCATAGTATGTCATAGTGATATATGGTTGTCACTATTCCTAAACAGTGTATAAAGAAACATGTAGCACTGGGCATAGTGGCACGTACCTGTAATCCCAGCTCTCAGGAGGCTGAGGCAGGAAGATCATCAGGAGCTCAAGGCCAGCCTGGGCTCCACAGTGAATTCAGTGCCAGCCTGAACAATGTAGTAAGACTTGGTCTCAAAAAAAAGTACATGTTTATCCTTATAACCAGTGTTTCCCAAAGTCACATAACCAAGTGAACCCTCGCACCTTTTTAATGGGACATCCTACCATCTTGAAGGACTGGTGTTCCAAAGAGTACATTTTAATAGACACTGGTTTAGTACTGTGTTCTAAACCATAACACCTTTCTAAGTTTACCTGTAATAGAAAATATAGCTCATTTCAAAGTAAATTGGTTTGTTTGTAAATTGGGTCAAGATAGCTCTGCAAATCTTTATTGTATAACTCCATGCTGTCATTCAAATTCTCACATATCTTAATTTCGTTTGCAGTTGACTTTCTTTATCTACAAAGTTATGGGTAGACAGGGGGGTCACTATAGATAGTGACTGTATAATACACTGTCCGAAAGCAACAAAAAAGGATTTTGAATGGTTTTGCCATTAAGAAGTGATAAATGAGATAGATATATTTAACCTGATTATCTAATGTATACATATATCAGAAATCACAAAGTACTTTATTAATATGTATAATTTTGTGTTTTTACATATCAGTTTAAAAGATAAAATTATTTTTAAAATACTAGCAAGATATTTTTTTACAAAGTGAGCTCAAGATCAGCCTAAACTACGTAGAGAGACCCTGTCTCAAAAAAATAAAACCAAAAGAGAAAAGATTCAGTGATACAGTGAGTGATGAATTCCCAAGAAATGAATTTCAGATTCTTGTGTACAATGAGCCAGGAGTTACAGGTATACACCAAATGGTAAAAGAAAAAACAGCCACATTTACTGAAGTTAATGGGCGCGGTCTGCTCACAGCAAGTGGGTCCTGCCAGCAACAAAAAGTGGCCTGAGCTGGAAAAAGAAGTGGTCCTGGGGTGACAGGGAAATGGGAAGAAAAAAAATATATGCCAGGTTTTAAAATTTTTTTAATAGGAAGATTTCTATGTGGGAAAATTATTTCTTAAAAGCAATTTTGCACTGTATTTGTAGATTCTGAATTCAGTGGAGGGAAGGCATATTGAAGTTATGGTCTTGTATTTGTTTTTCTGTCTTAGGCTATTATTCGTGAACTGGGTGGTATTCCAGTTGTTGCAAATAAAATCAACAGTCCAAACCACAGTATTAAGGAGAAAGCTTTAAATGCGCTAAATAACCTTAGTGTGAATGTCGAAAATCAAATCAAGATAAAGGTAAGTTTTGTGAAATCAAAAATATAAAAGGTTTTCTACACACGAAAAAGAAAATAATAAAAAGGTAAGTGAGGAAACTTTAGTAGACTGTCCCATATAACTCTGTGGCCAACAATTGACTTTAAATAAACAGAGAATAAGGCAGGGGAGGGAGGCACCTGAAGTAGCGAGGAGAAGGTAGAGTAGAAGGGACTTTTGTAGTTGGGGCTCATTTAATCCAAAAGCAGTAGAGGAACCAGGCTGGAATCAAACAACATCAGCAGAAGCACTCAATGAATTAAGAAATGGTATGAGCCGAGCGTGATGGCACACAGCTATAATCCCAGCACTCAGGAGGCTGAGGCAGAAGGATTATTGTGAGTTCGAGACTAGCCTGGGCTACAAAATGACTCAAGGCAGCCTGAACTGCATAGTGAGGCCCTGTCTTGAGAAAGAAAGAAGGAGAGAGAGAGAAAGAAGGTAAAGAAAGAAAGAAAGAAAGAAAGAAAGAGAGAGAGAGAGAGAGAGAGAGAGAGAGAGAGAGAGAGAGAGAGAGAAAGAAAGAAAGAAAGAAAGAAAGAAAGAAAGAAAGAAAGAAA